TTGTAAAAAGGAGGTTTTTGTCGCTCGAAAGAAGGTTGTCTCGAGATCCTGAATTAAAGAAAATGTATCTCGAAATCATGGAAGAATACCTCGCGTTAGGTCATATGTCTCCTACAGACAATAAAGTTCCTTTGACTCCACATTATGTAATTCCGCATCAGTGTGTCCTTAGGCCCCAGAGTACGTCTACTAAGTTGCGTGTCGTGTTTGACGCCTCTTGCAAAACGTCATCTTAGGTGTCCCTAAATGATATCTTGATGGTAGGCCCAACTATCCAAGATGAGTTATACTCCACACTGCTCCGCTTCCGGCTGCACAGGTTTGCTCTGACAGCCGATGTTAAAAAAATGTATCGCCAAGTAATGGTGAATGAAGCGGATAGGCCGTTTCAACTCATAGTGTGGAGAAGAGTCCCCTCAGAATCCTTGAGATTGTACCAGCTCAACACCGTAACATATGGAACTGGTCCAGCTCCATATCTAGCGATTCGGTGTTTAAAAAGGTTGAGTGAATCTGCCAAACTTTCATTCTATAGAGCTGCTGAAGTTATTGGATCCGACTTTTACGTCTATGCTAACTGGTGCTGCATGCGTCGAGGAGCTCAGATCTATTAGGTCTGAAGTGTCTCAGGTTCTTCAAACCGCCGGGTTTGAATTGACACTGAGAGCACAGTTAAATTCATACCGATCTCGGATTCAGAGTCGACGAAGGCGTTAAGAATATCGTGGTTGCCTAACGAAGATTCTTTCAAATTTGAAATTGATGATTCCGTCTTGGGGTGACATCGAAGCTGTTCGACCCCCTCGGCTTGCTTAGTCCTATCGTTATCAGAGGAAAAATCCTATTGCAGGAACTCTGGCTGAACAAGTTGGTTTGGGATGAGTCGATTCCTGTGCATTTGGAAACTGCGTGGAATAAATTAAAAAATACTTTGTCTCGTTTGGAAGAGATAACAATTCCGCGGTATGTGCACACCGATCCGATGTCACCGGTTCAATTGCATGCCTTTGCCGACGCATCCATGAGAGCTTATGGAGCTTGCGTCTATATTCGTAGCAAAACTGCAGAAGGTATTAAACTGTCATTAATGACGTCAAAATCTAAAGTAGCGCCGCTCAAGACTAAAACGCTCCCAAGGCCTGAGTTATGTGCCGCTCACCTTCTCGCAGATCTCTGTCACAGAATCAAACCCCTATTAAAGGTCCCTATCGAACGGATAGTATATTGGTCGGACTCGGAAGTGGAATAAATTTAAAAATACATTGTCTCGTTTGGAAGAGATAACAATTCCGCGGTATGTGCACACCGATCCGATGTCACTGGTTCAATTGCATGCCTTTGCCGACGCATCCATGAGAGCTTATGGAGCTTGCGTCTATATTCGTAGCAAAACTGCAGAAGGTATTAAACTGTCATTACTGACGTCAAAATCTAAAGTAGCGCCGCTCAAGACTAAAACGCTCCCAAGGCTTGAGTTATGTGCCGCTCACCTTCTCGCAGATCTCTGTCACAGAATCAAACCCCTATTAAAGGTCCCTATCGAACGAATAGTATATTGGTCGGACTCGGAAGTTACGTTGCATTGGATTCGATCCCATCCGTCTTCTTTGTCGATATTCGTCTCGAATAGGGTAGCGGAGATTTAGGAGTAGTCAGGAGAAACTACGTGGCGGCATGTCCCAACTAAATAGAACTCAGCAGATATTATATCAAGAGGTTGTGACATAGATGAAATTAACAATTCAATCTGGTTTACTGGACCATCCTTTTAGAAGAATGAAGAAGAGGCCTGGCCTAAAAATGCACATTTCGTTCTTGATAAAAAGGTCCTAATTGAGGAATCAAGGAAGACTGTGGTAACGATGGCCGCCACGGTACGGAAGTCGGAACTGGTAGATGTCATCGAGGGATTTTCGTCACACCTCAAGCTGATTAGAGTGTTCGGTTACATTTTCCGCTTTATAAGGAAATGCAGAGACAAGAGTATAGTTTTTGAAAAAACTCTGTCACCGACTAAGTACAACGAAGCCTTTTTAAAAATTGTCGAGACCATCCAGAAACACGAGTATCACGAAGTCTTGGAAAAAGTTCGGAAGAACTCCAGAGTTGGTCCAAGTCTTCAACGATTGAACCCATTCATTCATGAAGACTCGGGTACTTGGTGTAAGTTTTCGTTGTTGCGAGTTGGGAGGCGATTAGCAAATGCTCCTATATCGTACGATGCCAAGTTTCCACTGCTGTTGACAAAATGCTCCCAATTTGTTCAGAGCTATGTCCGGCATCTTCATTTAACCAATTTTCATGTCGGGCCACGAGCACTTGTGAGTCTCCTTCGACAGCGTATTTGGATCGTAAACGCTCAGGAGGTCTGCAGTCAAATAGTTCGATCATGTATTCGCTGCTTTAAATGCAAGCCTCGACTAATAACACAAATTATGGGAAATTTACCCGCAGATCGGCTCCGTGCTCTCCGCCCATTTACTATCTGTGGCGTTGATTTTTGTGGCCCCGTCTATACGACATTCGTGGAAGGCCTCCTTATAAATCCTACATAGCGCTGTTTGTTTGTTTGCATCCAAAGCGGTTCATCTAGAAATTGTTTCAGATTTAACCACTAACTCCTTTTTATTGGCTTTCCAAAGGTTCGTTGGACGCCGAGGATGCCCTCGCACAGTCCATTGCGACAACGCGACGAACTTCGTAGGAGCCAGTCTCCACTTCCAAGGCCTTCGGGAGCGGATCGAAAAGGAGGCAGACGCCATACGCGAATTCGCATCAAAAAGCGGATGCGAGTTTGCGTTCACACCGCCTCGGGCTCCGCACATGGGCGGTCTTTGGGAGGCAGGTGTGAAGTCTGCCAAAAACCTACTCCTACGAGCGGTAGGCAGCGCGCTCCTAACCGCAGAGGAGCTGGAGACGGTGCTCGTCGGGATCGAGGCGGTGCTGAACTCCCGGCCGCTAGGCGCGTTAACCAACGACCCCAGCGACGGAGAAGCGCTAACGCCAGGGCACCTGCTGACGGGCGGACCGTTGTACCCCATCCCATCACTGCGGACCCCGGACCAGGCGGGTCTCAGTTGCTTGCGGTGATGGCAACTTGTCTCGTTAGCCAGGCAAATGTTCTGGCGGCGATGGTCCCAGGATTATGTGCTGGGCCTGCAAATTCGGGGCAAGTGGCACCAGGAGCAGCCCAACATCCAGGAAAGACAACTGGTCGTCGGCGCCGAAGACAACCTGCCGCCTCAAGAAGGGCTGATAGGGAGGATCGTCGCCACTCACGCAGGAGAGGACGGCATGGTCAGGGTCGTCGAAGTGAGGACCAGCGGGGGAGGGATGTTTAAGCGGGCCATCCACAAATTAGCGCCGCTTTCAATATGTTGAAGCCGGATGGGCCTTAAACGGGGCCGATGTTGGCTGAAGCCAGTTTTTTTTTTTTTTGTTGTTATTTAAATTTAATAAAAGTTGAATTATTGAATTAGAATTTGAAGTCTAGTATAAGTTAGTTTAGGGCGAAGGCGGGAGCGCAATAAAGCTTTCGTTCGCTCTCTGCGAGTTCGCTCCGTCTCACAGTGGACGATTTGGTCTCGCTAGCGGCATTTAATTAATAACTTCTAAACTAAAATAGATATCTTCAGTCGGTTTTTTTTCACCGATCAAAGAAAAATCATACAATTTTTTAAGTTAAAAAAAAGTTTTTTTTTTATATTTTATTATTTTAAATATTTTTTAATTTTAAATTTTGATTTATTTTTATGTTTTTTAAACTTCAATTAATATATTCCATAAACAAACATAATTTAAAAATGGCTAGAATTTTATTCAGAATCATCGGAATCAGACGGCGGCATAGTAAAAATACTAACATATACTAAAAAAGATCCCTTTTTGCTACTGACATTGTGCCTTAAAAGTACCATAGTTTGAAGGCTAGCAGGTACTAGCAGTTCATATTACACACATTGGACGCCACTGATTCACCCTTTCGGCTAATAAAAGAGTTAGACTGAATCCACTTGAATCAGGTAAGTTCTTCTCCACGAAAGACAGGTGTACGCTAATCCGGGCTCGTTGTTAATACACTGAATTGCCACTACGTTTTATGAGCTACACATTTATAGACCGGTCACAAACATTAATTTTTTTTGTAATGGATACCTTGAAATTAATAAAAAAACCAAACTTTTAATAAATTCACTAAAAATTGTAAATTTCCGAGGAACTTGTATTCGATGCGCGCAAGCAGGTAAAATTTTGTAAAGTTCTTTGCAAAATCATTTTCTGTGTTTGTCCGATCACAGCTGATGATCAGCTCATCGTAGAACTTTTAAAATGCTTGGATAAATCTAATCAAAGTATCTATTATCGAATTGTGAAAAAAATCATCGCTTTTTGAAAGTTGAAATTTGAATTAAATGCCGCTAGCGAGACCAAATCGCCCACTGTGCGTCTTCGCCAATCTTCGGTAAGCTAGGCTTAAGAATAATGTGGAGAATAGATCATTCGTAAAATTGAGTTGAGTCGAGCGCACGCATCTTTTCGTTTTCGTCGTTTTGCCAATAAAATTATTAATTAGTCACCCAAGTTTCGGTATTAATCTATATATATATAAATGGAGACAAAAAATGTGCGGAATCGCATTACATGAGAACGGCTGGGCCGATCTGGCTAAAATTTTTTTTCAGTTGTTTGTACCTGCCAGAAGAAGGTTATAGCATAAGAAAATTTTGGGAAAACCTTCTGGAAAAGTCGCTAGCGGCTCAACAGATGTACACAATGTTGTATGTAAAATTCTAAAACACACTACAAAGATCATAGCTGCGTTGATATTGTGTATCGATGAAGTCGGTAAAAAAATATTTAAACAAAAAAATCGAGTGAGCTTAAACAATTGGAAATAATGCCTGCTGTTAGACAATTAAGACTTGGACGGCGTTCGCGCAATGTAATAAATAGTCAGAATTTCCGTAATAGTCGGACCCAAGAGGAACTTGCAGAAATAAATGCATCGACACGTGCCCGAATGGCACAGCTTCGCGCTGCACAAACCCCACCTCAAGCCCGACAAAATAATAGAGGATGAAGCAACCAACTATCCGACAGAATTTTTGAACTCACTGGATGTGCCAGGAACTCCGCCGCATAATTTGCAACTGAAGGTGGGATCAGTTATTATAATGCTGCCGAATCTAAATCATCCGAGATTATGCAACGGTACGCGGTTGTCCGTTATGAAACTAATGAACAACGTGATTCAAGCGACGATCATCAAGGGTAATTTTAAAGGAGAGGAAGTTCTTATCCCAAGAATTCCGATTATTCCATCAGATCTTCCATTCAAATTTAAGGGGTGACAATCAATAAATCGCAAGGCCAGTCGTTGGAAGTCTGCGGGATAAATCTGGAATATCAATGTTTTTCACATGGACAGTTATACGTAGCCTGTTTGCGTGTCGGGAAGTCGTCATCATTATTTATTTTTGCACCGGATAAAAAATCAAAAAATATTTATCACATCGCTCTCCAATGATTTCAAGTCAAAAAAATTTCACAAAAAAATTGAATTACCAGTGTTCTATTTGTACGATTTTCGTCAAGGAAAAAATTAGTTCGCAGCTGGATCGGTATTTATGGGTTAACTTAGATAAGGGTCGTTTTGTTGATATCGGCCTACCTAACCAAGCACAGGACGATATCGGCCTGTGTCCATATGTTCGGACCTATCGTAAAAGAAAACCCACAGATAATCACGTCTTCACACCATCTGCAGTCCTATCTGTAGTAATATTGTCTTTAAGATATCTGTGTCCAACTGGTATTGTTTTGATAGGCTAACCAATGTAACAAATAATTGTAATCTTGACTAGACCTAAGTAAATATCTTTACCCAAAAAACTTGTATATAAAGCCTAGGTTTGACTCAATAAAATTAGTACGAAAAGAACTCTTGACGTATTCACTTCTCCGCAGCCCAATTTGTACTGTACTTATTGCGGCGACTATTGCCACTGGTATTGAACTTGCGGCACGCAACAAAAACAAAACTCTACTTTTCAGCACTTAGAATTCATTTGAATTCGCACATTTGGTGACCCCGACTTCGAACCGCAACCATTGTTCAGATTGGGACTCCAATTTGAACCCGCATCATCGATCATAGTTTGATCATTCAGAAATCAATCACGGTAGTGATTGAAAGGTCAACTAGGCGACCAAGCAACTTTTCATCTACTGCTATCAACTTGGCGATATACAGTTTTTAAAACAGCAGACGACTAGAATATTCTGCGATTTGTGTACGATCAACTTGGCGATCAAAAACACACACAAAAATATATAGAATCTTGATTACTGACCATTTTACATTTATTTTATAAACCACGGTGTGAGTCGAGGCACATCATCAACAATATAGGGGAATGTTGTCAGGGTTGGGCCATGTTTTGACCTATGTCCATAACTTCTGAACCAATGACAATTCAGAATAAGTTTATACATTTTTGGAAAGGTACAAGCAAGAGGAAGTGTTCACCAAAAAAAGAGAACAAAAAAACAAAAACAAAAAAAGTTATAGGCGCTTGAAAAAAAAAAAAAAATGTAGTCAGCGTTGGGCCATGTAGTCAGGGTTGGGCCACCTTCAGAAAATCGTTGACAATATCGTAACGTGGTGGAATAAAATTGAATTCAGGTAAATCTGACATTATTTTGTTCATTTATTTAATTATTTGGGATTTTACAGTCAATATCAAATTATTCAGAGTTGTTTTTTCGTTTGTAGAGAGAAACACTAAAGAAAAAGATACAAATGATTCATCTTCTTTCAATCCATCGAAATATTTTTTTAAGGATATCTATTTAATTTATTTTGCATATTTTTGCTACAAAAAACTTAAATATTACAACAAAAATCGAAAATACTCGAATAAAATGTAAAAATTATGATGGCCCAAGCCTGACTACACAAGTGGCCCAACCCTGACGACATGCGGTATTAATCTATTATGGTATGATATAGCCAAACTATATCTCACAATGAAACTATATCTTAGTATTTTGTAAAATAATAACTATATAACGTATTTTTATGCTCTCCTTGCGGATGACATGTTGTTTTCTTGTGATATTCACCTTTTTCGGCCAGGTAAAAAAAACTTTTTCGAGCACTTTTTCTTCACGGAGCAACGACGCGTAGAAGAATGAAATTCCGAAATAAGTAGTCACGTGGAAAGTTTCGAGTGACCGATAGAAGTTTCTAGACACCCACAAACAGATTGTTCTAGAACGAATATTCGAAATATTGAGATGGCCCGACCCTGACAACGGCCCAACCCTGACAACATTCCCCTACCTCTAAAAGGTTTATAATTAAAAGTAAAACATGGCATCTTCAAGCATTCGCTCCTTATTGGATGAACAGCATGCTCTGGGTAAGCGCATCCAAAATATTATAAGGAATTTCAAAAAAGATTCCGAAAGCAGAAAATCTAAGCCTGCGTATTATACAGAACGCTTGGCTAATCTGGAGGGTCTATGGGTAAATTTTGCCTCCAGAGATGATACAATCCAGCGTACCCTGAAAGGAGAAAAAATCGATCATGGGTATTTCAGAAATAATTACTTTCTTGAAATTAGAAACCTGGTGAGTGAATATCAAAATATATTCACAACAAACTTATCAACCCTGCAAGCTGAAACTGCCTCCCTAACGTCTACGGAAGAAGATTTGGAAATAGAATCCATGTTCCGTGAGCAAAGGGTGCTCATTGATACATTAGAGCGCATCATGAGTAAGGTGACGATTGAAACACGCCAAAATTTTAAGGCGATCATATCCGAAAATTGGACTGAAATTAAAAGGATTCATGTCCAAATTCATAAAAAATTTAAAAACCCCAAAGAGTTGGGATACGATGATTCCCGATATTTAATGGCTGAAGATGCCATTATAACATTTCAAGTGGCACTCGTCGTAGACGGACCACAGAATACTGGAGAACGTTCCCCTCAAATCGCAGCAGTACCTTTGCCAAAGATAACAATTCCAAAATTTGATGGAAATTATTTGCAATGGCAGCAATTTTATGATTTGTTTAAGAAAATGATTCATGAATCTTCATTACCCATTATACAAAAAATGTGGTACTTGAAGACTAATCTAACGGGAGAGGCTGAACGTTTAATTCGTCACTTGTCCCTAACTGAAACGAATTATTTGACAGCATGGAATATGTTGCAAGAGCGTTTCAGCAACAAAAGAGTATTGTGCAATACTTTACTCCAAAAATTATTAGATCATGCACCAATATCTAGTGATGTCAAAAGCATTAAATCGTTGCATGATAATGTAAAGGAAACATTATCAGCATTGAACAATATTGAAATAAGAACGGACAATTGGGATCCGATTCTCCTGCACGTTCTAACAAAAAAACTAGATCGACAAACACATTTGCTCTATGAACAATCGATTCTCAACACAAGAGAAATGCAGTCAACTAAAGAATTTTTGGAATTTTTGGAGCAAAGGTTTCTCACACTAGAAGCTATTTCTTCAGAGAAACCCAAAAAACCAACAACATGTGCAGCAGGGGCAGATACACCCTTCAATTGCCTCTTCTGCAAGAAACCAAACCATAGCATTTTTAAATGCAATGAGTTCTTAAAAAAGACTCCAGCTGAACGTTTAAACTGGACTCAAAAGAATAAATTATGCGTAAAATGTTTCAATTCAAATCACGCTTCAAAGGCATGCACTAGGAAAGATTGTTTTAAGTGCAACAAAAAACACAATACACTCCTGCACTTGGAAAAAGTATCAGAAAATTCGGATGTCATTACTGCGGCATCAGCAAGTGGAAAGCATGATGGTTACGTCCTTCTAGCCACAGCTAGAGTACTAGTTCAAGGAAACAATGGACAAATGGCTGAATTCAGAGCTCTACTTGACTCTGGCTCCCAAATAAATGTTATTTCTGAAAGAGTTATTCAGAAATTAGCATTAAAAACCACCAGCTCGAAACATAAAATAAATGGCATAGGTGGAAAGGCTCACACCTCCAATGCTCGAGTAAACGTTGAACTAAAATCTAGAAACGGAAATTTTGCATCAAGACTTGAGGCGATTGTAATGTCTCATATAGTCGCTGATCAACCGACATACCCAATATCCACGGAAAATTGGAAAATTCCTAATGGTATACAACTTGCTGACCCTCAATTTGGAAAACCAGGGAAAATAGATATTCTCCTTGGTGCTGAGCATTATTTTGATATAATGCAATCGGAAAATGTATGTATTAAAAAGGGACTACCAAGGTTGTAAAATACCAAACTTGGTTGGATTGTAGCTGGTAAAATTTCGGAACAAAAAGCAACTTCATCAGTATGTGCAGTCCTGACTGAAGCGGAAAAGGTGGATGAGCAGCTTGTCAAGTTCTGGGAACTTGATAATTTTCAACCGGATAAAAAATGTTATTCGCCAATCGAAAAACAATGCGAATCTCATTTTCTGGAAAACATCCAGCGCGCACAGGACTCAAGGTACATTGTGCAATTACCATTTTTGGAGCATACTTCAGCGCTGGGGGAGAGTCGTGACATTGCCACGCGACGATTTTTATCGTTAGAGAAACTATTGCAGAAAGATCCAGCAATAAAAGAAGGATATATTGAGTTCATGAAGGAATATGAACTGCTTGGACATATGAAGGAAGTTCCTCTTGCGAATCTGCCAAGATCGCACTATTTCATACCTCATCATTGTGTCCTAAAGCCAGATAGCCATACAACAAAACTACGGGTTGTATTTGATGCATCAGCGGTAACATCTTCTGGAAAGTCATTAAACGATTTATTGCACAAAGGTCCAACAGTGCAAAATACTCTCATGTCTATATTGTTAAGATTTAGACTACATAAATATGTCTTTACAGCTGACATTGAGAAAATGTATAGGCAGATTTGGATAAATCCAAAAGATCAGCAATATCAGATGATCGTATGGAGAAACGACCCTTCCGAAAAGTTGAGATACTATCGACTGAAAACAGTGACATATGGCACCAAATCTGCACCTTATTTAGCAACGAAATGCCTAGACTATTTGGCATCAAAACAAGTACAGCAGTATCCTGTAGGAGCGGCTGCGCTAAAAAATGACTTCTATGTGGATGACTGCATTACCGGAGCAGACACAATCCAGGAAGCATTACAAATCCGGACTGAACTTAATAAAATATTAATCAGTTCGGGATTCAAACTAAGAAAATGGTGCGCAAACAGCAACCAACTTTTACAGGGATTAAACAAAGATGATATAATCCCTAATGTACAATTGGAAGATACGGCATACGAAGATTGCAGTATCAAAACTCTTGGAATTATCTGGAATCCCAAGATAGATAAGGTTTGCGGAAAGACACAAATTGCTACAACACAAAAAATTACAAGGCGAGATGTTGTCTCAGAAATATTTAAAATATTTGATCCACTTGGGTTATTCTCGCCAGTCGTAATTAAAGCAAAAAGTTTAACAAAGGAGAAATTCGACTACAATGAGGATTTGCCTGATAATTTACAAAAACAATGGGTACAATTCCGTAACAGCTTAGAGGCGTTGAACAACATAAAAATTTCACGTCATATTTTTGAAGGTCAAGTACCGACCTCAAAGGAGATTCACACTTTTGTTGATGCGTCTGAAAATGCGTATGCAGCAGCTGTTTATCTTCGAGCAGTTCATAAAGACAAAAGAGTGACTGTACAATTACTGTGTGCAAAATCGCATTTGGCTCCAATAAGTCAAATCACTCTTTCTCGCACAGTTAACGTTCACGGTAAAGGAGCAATTATCCATGCAAGCCGTCCCAACTTACTACTGGGCAGAGTCGGAAATTGTATTATCATGGATATGTTGCTCCAAATTTGCAAATCACAACCTGTGGTTTTTTGGTCCCCTATTTTTATATGGGCCGCCATCAAAATGGCCTGCACCATTTATTGCATCTAAAGCTGAGCGCATCACCAAAGCGACAGAAACATCTCTTCTGTCAGTGCAAAACGATAGTTTACTATACCGCATTAATCATAGGAATTCTATTTCCAAGCTATTAAGAATAGTAGCATATGATACATTATGCGTGTAAAAACAAGGCCACAAGTAAAGGGTGTAACAATTCAATTAGATGAATTGGAGCAAGCAAGAAAAGTAATTCTCCGCATAATTCAACAAAAACACTTCAACAAGGAGTTTAAGAGCTTAAAAAATTCTCGTGAAGTGGAAAGAAGCCAGGATAATCTTATCAGAGTTGGAGGTAGATTGGAAGCCGCTGAATTGTCATTTGATGCGAAACACCCAATATTACTACCATATAGCGACCAACTTGTAAAGTTAATTTTTGAAAAATTGCATAAAGACAATATGCATTGTGGTACCCAAGCTCTGGTGGCCATTTCACGGCAAAGATATTGGGCAATAAAAGCAAAAACAATCGCCCGAAGTGTCATTCTAAATTGTGTCAAATGTACCAGAGCCAAGCCAAAACTATTAGAGCAAATAATGGGAAACCTACCACCATTAAGAATAACTCAAGCAAGACCATTCTTGAATTCTGGTGTTGACTACTGTGGACCATTTAAAATTCACTACAAAATTCGTGGTAAAAATACACATACCGCATATATCGCAATATTTTGCTGTTTTGCAACTAAAGCAGTCCATCTGGAGTTAGTGAGTGATCTTACAACCGAAGCGTTTTTGGCAGCACTTCGTCGTTTTATCAGTCGGCGAGGAAAATGTCAAACTTTACATTGTGATAATGCGACTAATTTTGTTGGAGCAAGGAATAAGCTTCAGGAGCTGGAAGATGCCATATTTTCAGAAAAGGCAAGAAAACGCATTGTCGAAAATTGTATTGACAAAGGAGTTAATTTCAAATTTATTCCACCAAGAGCTCCGCATTTTGGAGGATTGTGGGAAGCTGCGGTAAAATCAGCTAAGCATTTGCTGCTAAAAAATGTTGTTACAGCTAATCTAACTTATGAGGAGTTAGAAACTGTTATTGTCGAGATCGAAGCAATACTCAATTCTCGACCTTTAGTTCCCATGTCGAATGATCCAAATGATTTGACAGCAATCACTCCAGGTCATTTTCTCATTGGAGAACCACTCACCGCCCAGGCTGACAGGGAACCGTCTCAGCAACCCCAGACTTTAGGACAGCGATGGCAAGCTGTATCAAAGCTCAAACACGCATTTTCGAAGCAATGGTCAACTGATTATCTTCAACAACTGCAGCAGAAGCAAAAATGGAGACGTTCCTCAGCAAATATAAAGGAAGGAGCATTAGTCTTAATAAAAGAAGACAATATACCAGTATTGCAGTGGCCAATGGGACGAATTATTAAGATAATCCCTGGAAAAGACAATTTCGTCAGAGTAGTTGAAGTAAAAACATCAAAAGGAGTTTTTAAGCGCGACATTCAACACATTGCTCCGTTATTCGCAGAGGAAGAACCAACAAATAAGCATCCACTATCCGAGAATTCTGAGGACGCGGTGGTTGAGGAGACCACACCAAAAAGGAAAAAATCTACAGGGATATCATCATTGGCAATGCCATTAATAGTAATGCTTCTTCTTATACCATTAACTGTTGCTCAATCAGTAAATGTAACAAAATTTGTCTCAAAGCCAGGAATATTTTTTGAAAAAATTGGAAACGGTCAACTGGCCACAACGGACTGGTCTATAGTTGTTTATTACAACTTAAAGCCATACTGGAATGATATGAACACATTCTCAATGGGAGTAACTAAAATTGGTCATTTATGTACTCAATTTCCACAACAAGAAGCGTGTTCTAGCATGTATCACCATTTAAAGCATTTAGAGGAAGATCTACAAGCGGAAAATATGTTACTCACAAGATCACGGAAGCAAAGAGCCCCACTAGATATCGTTGGTAATATAGCAAGTAGTCTTTTTGGCGTATTAGACTCAACATATGCTAACGAAATGGCCAAGACAATAACAAAAGTTAAAGGAAATGAAAAGCACCTACTGAATTTATTAAAAAATCAGACATCATTAATAGATTCAACAATAAATGTCATAAAAAGAGATGAGATTTCCAATTCAAAACGATTAAAATTGATTGAAGATTTTATCTCAGGCACAGAAAGTACCAAGAGTGCATTTGATAAACTCTCATGGTATACAACATTATCAACTCAACTGTCTATCTTGGCATCAAATCTCCATCGAATACAAACAGAAATAATAAATGTATTAACAGATGGGGGGATGGGGGAGAGCATATAAGGCAAAGTGTCTGACTGCATTCAACTTGGTGAATGCCAGCATGATCCTTATCACTGATCTCCTCAAGCCGACGCACTACCTCCACGTGGTTCTCCCTGGATTGCCATTTAACATCCGTTGAGTGGCAAACTAAAGCGCGCGACGAGAGTCCTAGCTCTTCAAACTAGGTTGTGGCGTAGGACTTGAAATCCACCCATATAAAAACCAAAATTCAATGAAAGAAGCAGAAGAAGCCTCGGAACGGGACCGATTTAACGTTGACGACCATGGCAAACGAAAAAGGACAATGATTTGAGAGTATGCACGTGGAATGTACGAACACTGTACAGACCAGGTGCTGCTCAACAACTAGCAGATACCCTCAAAAAATGTAGGGCCGATATCGCTGCTATCCAGGAAATGCGATGGATAGGGCAAGGTTGCATTAAGAAGAAGGACTGCGACATCTACTACAGCTGCCATCCAGAAAGGCATGAATTTGGCTGTGGCTTCGTTGTTGGCACCAGACTGCGGCGACTGCTATAACTAGCACAAACGATGTCAGCCTAGAGATTTAGCGGAGAGTCACACTTGCCAACAGGTGTTACTTTGGGCTCAGTAGGCATTTCAACAGTAGAGCTCTCTCTCGACAGGCAAAAATAACACTCTACAAGACGCTCATTCTTCCAGTACTCTTATATGGTGCGGAGTGCTGGACAGTGGTGCAATCCGATGCAGCCGCTCTTGGAGTGTTCGAGAGAAAGATTCTCCGCAAGATCTTTGGTCCGATTTGCGTTGGCGATGCCTATCGCATTAGATGGAACCACGAGCTGTATGAGCTGTACGGGGATGTTGATGTAGTCAGTCGAGTTAAAATTCACAGACTCCGCTGGCTGGGTCACATCGCCCGTATGGAAGAAGACACTCCGGCCCGTAAGGTGTTTGATGCGGTAATTGTCGGGAAACGGAGGAGAGGACGACCCCGGATGCGTTGGCAAGACCAGGTGATGGAAGCCCTGTCTACATCCGGTGCTGCCAACTGGAGAAGGCGCGCCCAGGACAGGGATGCGTGGAGGCAAATCGTGCAACAGGCTGTGACCCGTCAAGGGTTGTGATGGCCAATTATTATTATTATTATTTATTAACAGATATTCGTCATAATATGATCAGTCCAATGTTAATATCACCACGGCAACTAAAGGAGCAACTGGAACAAATTCATGGTCATTTAAAAGCTGGACAGATGCTCCCAATTTCACCAGATAACTTACTTATGGCATATCAGCTAATGAGAGGCGAAGGAACTATTGTAAATGATCACGTCATTATTAAAGTAAAACTTCCTTTAATATCATCTCAAGTTTTAGACATTTACAAATTGACTCCAATTCCATTTCTGAATAGGGAAGGCATTCATCTAATTGAGATAAATTCACCGTTCCTTGCATTCAATAGTCATCGTGATGAATTTATGGAAATGTCAGAAGCAGAATTTAATTCTTGTCAAAAGAAAACAACAAGAGAATTTATCTGTTACAACAAGCAAGCAATGCTTTCATCAGAAACAAGTTGCGAAATGAAATTATTTCACAATAAAACAGATGCATCTTGTAAAATAATTAATACAAAAAACCATTTCTTTTGTATGGAATGTCTGCCACAAATCAATGGATATATGCAACAAACGCATCTTTAAAATTAGCTGCTGTTTGCTTAGATGGAACATCTTCAATAGAGTTACAAGAGTCTGGCTATTTAACTGCAAGTCCTGGATGTATCATTAGAAATACATTGATCACAATAACTACACTGGATCATACAGAAAGCACACTACAGGCATCATATGCTCGATTCGGAGATAGCAATTTAACCGAATTTTTACCGAAAAAATCCAAGACCACAGTTGAAGTTGATACTCAAAAACTACACTTCAATGAACTTCTCCAGAGAAAATTGGAACTATTTCCAGACAATAGTTTCAAGTTACCCCACAATCTCTCTAACATCGAACATCATCAAATAGCCATTTATATTGGATTAACATTCGTAATGATCATCAGCATTATTCATCTTCTCAAAAGAAAGCAGAAGTCAACTCATTACCACTTCATCAAGGACCGAATACACCTACAACTGCAGCTACATCCACAACTCAGCCGTTTACAATCAACATAGGTAAATGACTGTTGAACATCCGTTCAACGGCCGGGAGAATGTACGATTTTCGTCAAGGAAAAAAATAGTTCGCAGCTGGATCGGTATTTATGGGTTAACTTAGATAAGGGTCGTTTTGTTGATATCGGCCTACCTAAACAAGCACAGGACGATATCGGCCTGTGTCCATATGTTCGGACCTATCGTAAAAGAAAACCCACAGATAATCACGTCTTCACACCATCTGCAGTCCTATCTGTAGTAATATTGTCTTTAAGATATCTGTGTCCAACTGGTATTGTTTTGATAGGCTAACCAATGTAACAAATAATTGTAATCTTGACTAGACCTAAGTAAATATCTTTACCCAAAAAACTTGTATATAAAGCCTAGGTTTGACTCAATAAAATTAGTACGAAAAGAACTCTTGACGTATTCACTTCTCCGCAGCCCAATTTGTACTGTACTTATTGCGGCGACTATTGCCACTGGTATTGAACTTGCGGCACGCAACAAAAACAAAACTCTACTTTTCAGCATTTAGAATTCATTTGAATTTGCACACTATTATTACTCTGGGGTTATATGAAATCGTGAAATTGGGGCGAGATAAAGTTCGCCGGGTCCGCTAGTAATTTAGAAAAACGGTTCTAATTTTTCTTTGCTAATTTTTCATTGTTGCTTTTACTAAGAAGTACGAGCTACAGAAAATCATGCTACTAGGTACTCTCGTATCAATAAGCCGGGAAGTTAAGTACCTCGGAGTTACCTTCGACAGGAGACTAACGTTTGCAACCCATATGCAAAAGACAGTGGATAAGTGCCTCAGGGCTCTCTTCACCTGTCGGAAAATTGCAGGGAAATCTTGGGGGACCTCACCCCAAATTATCAGAAGGCTATACCTTATAATTGTGAGGCCAATACTCACATATGGGGCAGTAGGCTGGGGTAAAAGAGCTAGGCTCGTTACCGCACAGAAACAGATCCAAAGGCTGCAAAGACTGACATGCATATGTATGACAGGAGCAACGAGAACCTGCCCCACTGCAGCACTGGAAGTTCTCATGGAACTCTCTCCGCTACACTGCGTAGTAGAGTTACAGCGGAAGGCCACCCTACTAAGAATCACTTCTTGTGGTAATGGCAGTGACCGCATCCTCAGTTCTAGGGATGCAGCAAAACTACTAGTCGAACTTCCCCTGAGCTCACACCCCAGGGACGAAATGACAGTAGAATTCATCTTTGAAAAGAATTTCTCTGCTCATCTGAGCAACAAGAAAGAATGGACCACCATGAAGGAAGTACACTCCGTGACGAGTCACACTATAGCATGGTATACGGACGGGTCTTTAACACACCAAGGCACTGGCCTTGGAGTAGTAGGACCACGAATCAAGTACCACGAATCGTTAGGCCAATACACCAGCATATTCCAGTTTGTTTATTGAAGTTTGCGCCATAGGACGGTGTGCAGAGCTCAATATGAAGCGTGTGTACACAAACAAAGACAATGCGATCCTCTCGGACAGTCGAGCGGCAATTACTCCACTATGCAGCAATAGAATCACCTCGAAGCTGGTTCGAGAAGTAAGAACAAAGTTAAACCTTCTGGGCAGCAACAACAGGCTGTCATTAAGATAGATTCCAGGACATAAAAACATATCCGGGAATGAACTAGCCGATAGGCTAGCAAAACTAGGGGCGGAACGACCCCTTATAGGACCCGAGCCTTGTTGTGGCATAGGCAGACACACAATCAAAGATTACCTAAGAAAAAGAACACCACAGGCCAAAGACAAGCCAAAATCCTCATCGTCAATTATGACATGAAGAGGTTCAAGAAACTTATACCACTAGGGAAGAATTTACTTAGGGTAGTTACCGGTTTACTAACCGGACATTGCAAACTAAGGAGAAACCTATTTAAGGCCAGGTTCCTCTAAAAATGTTTAAAAAGTGCAAATTTTTTTTTTCATAGTTCAAAAGACTGAGGAGCGCTGCTGGTAATCCGGCCGCTCGAACGCATGGGTGACACTCTCATTTTAAAACTATTGCATTTATTGATATGAATCAAACGGCATTTTACTCTTTAGATGTCTGGCTATGGCCTGAACCTGAAATATTCATTATTATTTAGAAAAAAGATATAAACAATTAAAAGTGAAAAAAAGGGTTTAAAAAATTCAAAAGTCCGCCATTTTTTTATTTTTCTTGGAACATTTTTCACTCTGGTTCAGGCCATAGCTACTTTGATGCAGAATAAGAAACCATTTTGGTTTTTGCTTTCAGATAATTGTTTTTCAAGTAATCGTGTCACTCATCTCGGATGAGTTTCAGCAGCCATTTTCAAGACCGCCATTTTGAAAAAAAAAAATTTTTTTTTAATGTTCAAGAAATTTTATATACATACTTTCATATGTAAAAAAAAATTGAATACTCAACATTTTTTGTTATAAAAATAAAATTAATTGAAAAAAAGTACGTTTTTTAGAGGGAGCCTGGCAATCCCTATAGGATTGCAAACTAAAGGTGGAGAACTATTGATGGCACTATCGGGACTATCGATGGTTTGCCACTATCGATACGCAATCGATAGCTGCGCGCACTCTCGATAGTGGTCAATCGCTATCGTCGATTGTTGTCGATATTTTTGTTTTCCCATGTCTACGTTAAAAGTGTAAAGGAAAGGAAATTGCGCGAATTTGTTACAGAGTTTTATAAATTGTTACTAAAAACATAATGGATCGTTTTCTTCAAAATGGCAAGATATTGTTATTTTGTTGTTATATTGTAATAAAGTTAAAAGCCAAATTTTGTGTGACAATAACAAAAGTGCTACGTGAGATGCAATTACTGCTATTACGGTTTGTTGAGAAATACATACGCTGTAACGAACTGTTTTTGTTGCTTTTATGCTCGCTACTGAATTGTGCGGTTAGCTCAGTAATGGTTGTGCGTTCGTCCCACCAAATTTATATGTTGTGATTGCCCCACCAGTGAATAAGAAGACAACGTTGATTTCTTGACTTCAAACTTGTTTATTTGACTTCTAAATCTGACAATTTGATATATTGCTCGCCTCGGTATGCTGCTCTCGACGCCGCCTCCTGGCTGTATCTCTACCGCAATGCTCGCCTTGGTACGCTTCCCTCGATGTCGCCCCCTGGGTTGAATCCCTCTCCTGTGCTCCCGCTCGATCGCTGCCGTTGATGTCGGGTATTTCACGTGATGGAGTTGGACTATCTGGGCTCCACCCTAGTCCCTACTACTCCGTGCTGGGGCTGTCAATCCTTGGGTCTCGGGGTTTCGCTGCTCCAGGACTCTGGCAGACACAGCAGGGCTCTCGGCGTGCACGCCTTTAACACCCGTGCCGTTCAACTGCGCGTCCTTCGCGGCTTGTCGCACCAGAACGCAACTCTCGCCACGAGACGGACCAAGCGTACGCCGGATCACGGTCTGGTAGACTCTACAGTATGCGTCTGGTTCTTGACTCTTCCCCACCGAGGACACGTTTACTCGATTAAGGACTCGTATGTGTAGACTTGGTCATGACCCGCCGGGCAATACGCCAGGCTCAATGTCTCCAACCAGGGGTCGTCACAGGCGCCTAGTTCGATTCGTGTGCTGCCCACAGGACCTCAGCTACCTGTGTCTCAATTCGGAGACTTGCAACTTTAAGTTGTAAGAATGCTAATCACGGGCCAGGATAAATACTCAGTCTATCCAGGGTCCCCTACAGAAATAATTTATAATTTACGGAGACAGACAGGACAAGGAGGCGGGTTCCCTAATTAGGTGTGGGTTCGAGGCGGAAAGTTTGGGAAAGTTTGGGTTGCATGCCGTGGTTACGCCGTCGGCCCGTCACCCGGGCGACCAGCGGACCTGGGCAGGCCAAGGGCGACCGATCCCGTCAACCGGGAGTCGGCTATCCGGCCCCGTCAACCGGGTGCCGGAGCCCTGC